CCCAGAGATCTACCTACCTACATGGGATCTCAAAATCCCATTTATAAAGTAGAATTTTCATCTGGGTCATCTAATCCACCCACAACAGAGATTCAGGTGAATTATTTTCTCAAACTGCCTGGCTTCAGACAAAACAACATATATACTCCCCTGATGCCTGTTGTTTCTGAGTTATTGCCTCATCCCTTACCTTGAAAAGAAATGGAAGTCTGCCCTAGTCCCTTAAAGATTAAAAAAATCAGAGGTTTTAAAGTCTATCCTTGCGGTTCTAGATAGCTTCATGTGGTTTGGAAACCATATTTCTAGCAGGAAAGTTGACTACAGATGATTAGCTAGTCAGAGTTGAGCATGAACAAAATGAGGGTCCTTGGGTCGGGCACAAACACTTTGCACTTAGCTGCTAATCTAACAGCTGGTAGTTCGAACTCACCCAGTGGTACTGCAAAAAAAAGGCTTGGAGATCTGCTTCGGTAAAGATTACAGCCAAGAAAACCCTATGGAGCATTTCTATCAGTGACACATGGGTTGCCTCTTCCTTTACCTTGAGAAGAAAAAATGGAAGTCTGCCCCAGTCCCTTAATGATTTAAAAAAAATCAGTCAGAATCCACTTGAAAGCAAGAGGTTTGGGATTTTCTGTTTGTTTGTTTGGGGGCTCAAGGGGAGAGAATAAGGGTTGGGGCAACAGCCTGCAAGAGATGAAGGAAACACTCAACTTACCTATAAATATCCCTCTTCTAGTGTGAGTCCCTGAGTAGCACAAATGATTCAGTGCTGGACTACCAGCTGAAGGGGTGGCAGCTCAAACCCACCCAGAGTGCAAATGAGGGTCTACATAATTAGACTAAAGGATTAATCAAGCTGGCAAAGCATCAAGTAAGCTTTCTACCTTGACAAATGTACCTTCACAGCAAGCTGGAAGACCAGGTACAATTTAGAGTTCTCAGACCCCTCAGAGTTCTGGGCAGGCATGGAAAAGCAGACCCCTTCTCTCCTACCAGGCTGCAGCCCCTCACCAGGGAGGCTTCTTAAGCACACCTGTGGTCTCCAGCCCTTATTTCCAATTTCCTCCAAAATGCCAGCAAACAGCTGCCTCTTTGGGCACCCCTCCTGATTTGCAGAAGCCTGGAAGCAAGTTTGGAGCTGCTCACGTAGGGAATTTGATCAGAGTCTAGAAGTAGAGCATAGACTCCTGGTGGGCAGTACCCTAGAGCCTGTGGACTCTTATCCCTGTCAAGAGGGGCACAGCCTGTAGAGGGCCAGACCCAGGCCTTTTAAACCCAGAGGATAAGTACAGAGTGTGGCCTCTTGCCCAGGTCTGAACATAGTATTGACTTTCTCTCTTTTAAACTAACTAGATGGACTTTTTGCTAAGTTTTAGTTGAGGACAAGTCCTTACATTAAAGACTAAGGGACAGGCAAACAGCGTAACAGGATCTGTGTCCAGAAGGGATAGAAAAAAAATGGAAAGACTTCACACTATGCAGAAAGATTTTGACAGCTGACATCTGGTTTCAGGTTCTGAAGAAGGAAAAGATAAATATCCCCCCAAAAGCCAGTGGACTGAAGAGGATTCTAGAGAGTAGTCGCAGTAGGATCCTTGCTTTATGGCATAAACTGGGCAGACCTTAACCTGTTTTCTGTTTTCCAAAATTAGTGTCCTACCTAGATCTTTGCAGAGACAAAAAAAAGTCTGCTTAAGAACTAGCAGAGGCAGCTGGGGCGCAGAGTTTGATCCCCAGGACGGAGCACACACAAAGTCAGGCCAAGCAAAGGAGGTTTGGGACTTTACCAAAGGGAGCCACCAGAGGCAGGCTGAAGAGTGGGTAACGGCCTGGGCTTCACCCCCAACGACTGACCTGGCACTTGCTCTGCATTTTCGGTGAGGAAAGTCCAACCATTTTCCATGCCTCTATTTTTAACTCTGTAAAATGGAGGTAGTACCTATAGCATCAAGTAGCCCTTGGTGGTGCCGTTCCAACCCACCCAATGGCTGCAGGAGAAAGAACGATCTATTGCCATAAAGGGAGCTCTGGTAGCATAGCGCCTAAGGCACTTGATTTCTAACCAGAAGGCTGGTGGTTCAAACCCACCAGCTACTCCTTGGAAGGAAGGTTGGGCAATCTACTTCCGTAGTGATACCGCCTCGGAAACCACAGAAGGGTCGCTATGAGTGGGTCCCACTCCATGGCACATAACAGCAACAACAACACTGCCATAAATATTACATACAGCCAGGAAAACTTTGTGGGGAATTTCTACTCCATGACATGGGATCACTATGAGTCGAAGTCAAATCAACAGCACCTAACGGGGGGGGGGGACCCTACGACATCACAGAACATGATGCCCCTGAGAGGTTAGTGATTTGGCTCAGAGTGACACCCAGTAGTATATTTAGGACTAAAAGGGTAAGGGCCAGAACTGGATTAGGCGGTTTCCACCACCTCCCCAAAATCCATGTTGGGGTTCCGCAGAAGTTATGTGTGATTGGGGGTGGGAGTGGGAGGACGGAAGCAGCTTTAGGAAAAGAGGCAAATCGAAACATCTGAGATAGCGGACAATAGGTTAAGTGTTTCGTAGCAGCTCCGTTTTGGGGTAGGGAGAAGGCTGCCTTTGAAACTGGCCGGGAGAAGTAAAAGGAGAGGCGCCTGCGCTCGCAAGTTGCGGGCATCCGCCAGTCTCTAAGCAGGAAGAGGAGGCGGCGGAGCGCTCGCTGGGCGCCAGGCGCTGCGGGGTCTCGTCGCGGGAAGGGCAGGCGAGGAACGCCCGGCAGGGGTCTGCGACTCTCAGCCACTCACCCAGCAGCAACAGCTTGAGCTCGCGGCGCGCGTCCTTCCTGTCGCGGCGAAGCTGCCGCTCTATCTCCGCGCTGATACGCTGCGACTCCTTCTCCTCCGCCGACAGGCAACAGCAGCCCGCCATGGTGCGCGGCGCACCCGACGGGGCGACGCCTGGATCCTCCGCCTGGCCGGTTCGCTACGGGAATCGGGGTTAGGAGAGAATAGGCGCGGGCCAGCACTCCCGTGGTTCAGCCCCTCTCGAGGGTCGGCTGTGAGGCAAGGGCGAATCCCGAGTGTTGGGGACGCTCGAGTGCACCTCGGCTGCGCCTCACACTCGCCCTCCACTCGCTCGCGGGAGGAGGAGGGAGAGCTGAGAGGTTGGGAGCTTTGCTGGTCTCCGAGAGATTCGTGCGCCCCTCGGCACAGGAGCCGGACACCTAGTCAGCGGCGCAAACGGCGTAAAAGGTGGGGGCGTCAGTGCTGGCCGGAGAGTAGGATCTCCTAGGCCTGGGGGTGTCCCACGCAGGCTGCACACGCGGCGTTGATCGGAGGCAGAAGACCTAACTGGACCTTGCCTGGAAAGTTCCGAAAACCTCAGCAGTGACTGTAGACTACGACTGAGTGGAAACGTTCCTGCTGGCTCTGTGGCTGGAAGTGGCAGGAGGAGGCGGGGCGTCTCGAACCTGCAGCCCTGACGTCTGCCCGACTTGGCCCTCGGGCCAACCAACTCCAAACCAATGGCTCCTGAGGGCAAAAGGGTGTGAGCAGAGTGCTGGGGGACGCGGAACGGGGCCTCGAGTCTCCAGATACAGGCTGGCGTCCTGGTGCAGAGAGGGCAGCCTGCCGAGGTTGTCGTAACCACTACCGCGCTCTGGCCACCAGGCCCTTCTCCCTGCCGGAATCCGGCTTCCGACAGGTGACCGAGTTTCGCCAACTCCCCAATCTGAATGGAGGCGGAGGCGGCTGACTTCAAGAGAAGAGGAGGGGGGGCAAGAGTCCACCGCAGGACACAATGAGCCAGGGGCGAGGTCGAAGTCTCTACCTTGACCTGAAGTTGAGGTTAAGCCCACCACCACACACCCGTTTCCTAAACCGACTCCCTCCCCTGACCACCTGAGCCCGGTTCTGCAGGGGCCAAAGCCCTGGATTCAGCTCGTCACTCTGCCTGACAGGTGCCTCCGCAGTGGCCTGCGCCCGTTGGCTCTCCACTCACAAAGCAACCGCCACCAGGTTCAGTTAAATGAGAGACGTGTACAAGCTGAGAGTAAATATCCTTCCGGCCCCTTCCAACCCCACCGGACGCCAAGGGCTAGTTTTGAGGAGGATGGAAAACGGCTGGCTAATTTGCATTCGCCCGTCGGGAAAGACTCCCTCCTTATAGAACGGGCTGACCCTTTCTGAGCAGCACCTGGCTTGTTCCCTGCCCCAGACCTGACAGCTGCTTTGCAAAGGTGTATCCACACAGCCACTTTGGCTGGCTCCTGAAAGATCGGGATCATGCTTGAGCTGCACTAATAAAAATTTTAAAAGACGTCTTTGGACTCAAATGATGTGATAGGATGCGTATTACAACATCTGATTTTGTATTTTATGTAGATTTTGAGGCAGAGCGCAAGGGGTCCACAGAGGAGAAGGAGAGGTGGAGGGAAGGAATCCTGTCGTTAACCGCAACGAATGTACTTTTTTTCCTTCTCTTCAGATAAATACATACCATGTAAACACTTTATGGCGTTAGGCCATTAGCTAAATGCTTCCTCTATTAAGAGCAGGCACAAGTGCATTTCACAAGAGTAGCTTATCTTTTAATCAATTCTAACTGAGGAACATATTAAGTGGAGAGAGTTGCATTGCCGTTTATAGAGAACTTGGCATTGTTATGGTATTTAAATGGCTGCAAGGTCTTATTAATATTATTTCTTTTACAGTGTAAAGAATGTAGATGAATCAGGCTTTAAAAATGAATTTGCATACATTCTCACGTGTATTCTGTTTTATATTTCTTTGCAGGCATAAATTGATAGTAACAGTGACCCCTACAGGAAACTCCTGGACGTTTCTAATTTGATTCTTGAACAATCACACATACCTCAGCTCTTACAAATTAATTTAAAATTCGAGAGTAAGAACTTCTGGTTTCTCAAGTTAATAGTTGCATCATAGTTGCTAGTATTTTTTAAATGACTAAAATTAGTGCAAAACTGAACTCCAAGTTAACTGGAACAGCTGACCTGCTAGTTGGAAAGTTGCTAGAATTTCAAAAAGATGTGAAATATTTATTACTTGTGGGAAAGCAAATCTGTGCAATTTTTCTTGGCTGGTCAGTTTGATAATATGCATCACAGGCCTTAAACAGGCCCATCCCTTTTGATCAAACCAGTAATTCTCCTTTTAAGAAACAGTCAAAGAGAAGCCACATGATTGATGTGCAGAGGTTTATTATTCGTAACAAGAACAAAAACTCAAAGCAACCTAAATGTCCAACAATAAGGAATAGGTTAAATAAATTATGGTAAATTCATGTAATGAAAGCTTGTGTAGCTATTAAATATGTAAATAAGTGAGTAACAAATGTGGGCATAATAATCAAAGAAATGAGAAATCCTCAAAAAACATTGAGTCAAAAAGGCAAGATACCAAAGCATCAACAGTATGATCCAAATTTTATTATGAAAACACATGTAAGCATTTTTAGAACACTGAAGAGAGCTACACCAAAAAGGTAAGTTTCTGTGAGTCACAGCTTTTTCATTTTCATTCTTTGATTTAAAATTATTTGAAGCAACTTGTATAAAGTTATCTAGATCCCACTGTCCTCAACAGTAAAATGAGAAGAATGAACCAGAATGAGTTCAAAGGGATCCCCCAACTCTACTATTCAACTAATTTCTTTGATGATTTTCACACTTGCAAGGAGGCTTTAAAAGTACTCACAGACCTGAAGTTGTTACTGAGCATTGGCAACTAGTGAGAACTGTAAAACTGAAACATCACAAGTCCAAGTCAATTATTTTATAGTTCTATTTTTATCCATGTCTCTATTTTCTTCATGTTTAGGATCTGAGGATGAGGTGAGAAAAAAAAAAAAAATTTAGTTATTCATTTGAAACATCTTTCCAGGAAAGGGCAGTTTTGAAAAGAGTTCTTAGTAAAAGAGAAAAATCTGTTTCCCAGGTTATTCCAAAAATGCAGCAATCCCATTTCATTACTCTTGCAGATTAGAACCCAGTTGAGGGTATCTGCCAAATGCTGGGTTTAACCCATGAGCTAATTGGAATGCTTCTGAATGTTCATTGAGTTCCTAGTTCGTGCTAGTGCCCCGGTACCAGGCACTGGAGAGTCAGATGAGATGACAATTCCAGAGTTTAGGTAGGCTACAGTCTACTAGAAAGAAATAAGGTTGAGAACCTGAAATCTGATCCATGCCTTCCTGCTGCTTCCAGATTGCAGGTAGTGAGTGGTGGCTCTACATAGTTTGTTGTTGTTGTTATATGCCGTCGGGTGGGACCGACTCATAGCGACCCCTCCTTGGGTTTCCAAGGCAGTATCACTACAGAAGTAGATTGCTCCATCTTCCTTCCGAGGAGTGGCTGGTGGATTTGAACCACCAGCCTTCTGGTTAGCAGTTAAGTGCCTTAGCCACTATGCTACCAGAACTCCCCTCCATAGTTTAGAGAGGTACATACCAGCCTTTCCCTTCAGCTCAGTATCATCTACAGTCACCTTCCTCTAACTCCACACAGATGTTCCTGGGTGTCCTCCCTCCTTCCATGTCTTGGCACATCTCTTCCAGAAATGTTAACTCTCCCCTTCAGGCAAAGTTGGATACTTTCTTTTCCAAACATTTATTTTCTGAGAAACCATCTGCACCCCTGTCTTTCCCTGTTGCCTAGTACCTTCTCTGTTCCCTTCATCAACATCACACTCATTACACCTCTTATTCTACATGGGGAATACCTTCCAAGGAGAGATTTTTACTTGCTCATCTTGGTATTCCTAAATTAGTAATTTTTTTGTTGGCGGAATAAAATTGAAACCAAGAAGAATTAGTATGACATAAAAGAAACTAGGAGAGAGAGAAAAGCTCTAGTGATACAAGACAGTAAGAAGCAAAAAAGCAAGCTCGTTTGCACAAATCAAAGTGGCCGGATGTATGATTTAAGGACTGTGTATAGAAGCTGACCCCCACTTGCCCCTTCACATGGAATCACTGCCCTGTTTCTAATAGAGAAGGCCAAGGAAATGTTCAAGTAGAGGGCTGGAATAATGCCAGAACTCGAACAAGTAAGGTAGTATGACCTCAGGGAAGTTCACAAAGCTGAATAACACCAATATCAATGCATTTATGCTGCTCTGTGGCAGTGTTTTTAAAACTGCAGTTGTGACCACAAGTTATATACAACCTTCTGGGCTTGTGACTAAGCATTTTTTGTTTTTTTAAAGAATAGAATATAGACCAAAAAATTCTCAAAGTCTATGGCTTGTTTTGCTTCATGATATTTTTGCTTCAGTTGTACATATTGGTATCAACTCAAGCAGGTCAGTAATAATAAATGAGGGTTTGCTTGCCCCTACCATTGCTCTCAATGACTCAGTGATTCCCAGTTTTCATTTTTCTGAAACATGTTCCCAATTTCTGATTTCATTTTCTTAGCCCAATACAAGTAGTCCCTGACTTACAATGTTACTTCAAACCTCACTTACAGTGGACTGTCCTCCCCCTCACCTTACTGCTGGTAACATGTACTACGTATAATATTGCAGCTCATAATTTGCTGTTATCATTCTCATACCAACCCCCACAGATAGATAAAGATCAGATTTATAAAAGAACATATAATGAAAGGCAATGATAATGATAATAAAAGAGGTATACTTGACTTAAGTCAGAACTGACTTAGGACAGAGTCATTGCAACGGAACTCCATAACTAAATCAGAGACTACTTATGTATTCTCTAAAAAGTTTTGAGATCCTTACTCCCTCTCCACACAATCATCAGTTTTGGAAGAGCTGGTCAATAAGAGTCAGTGGAGCAGTAATTATTTAGGTGAATGCATTTAGTGATATTTAGAAGAATTGCAGCTGGTGATTGTTGTACTCAGTATGTAGTTTTCTAAGGAGTTCTGGTGGCATAGTGCCTAA